AGAGCAGCCCTGAATTAAATCTGCAGAATCTGCAGTAAAAAAAACACCTACACACGAAGAAATTTCTAGTGTGTGTGTGTGTGTGTGTGTGTGTGCGCGCGCGCGTGCACACGCGCACGTGCATGTGTGCATGTATATATATGCATACACACCACTATGACAAAGGATAATACAATTTCCTGGTTTGAATTGTATGTTAAAAAATGCTTTTCTGAGATGCTGGCTTTGTACATCTATTCATTCTTTACCTTAAAAAAGAACTACCAACAATTTTAATAACAAATAATAATGTTATATATATACATACATATAAATATATATTTAAAAAWTGAATAGATTTTGTGTTTTATGTATAAGCTTCACGAATATCTCTTATGAATACTGGAGTAAAGCAGGATATATGTAGTATCTGAGAATCATTCAGTTTTAATTGTGAAAATGATTTATGATATACAGTCTGTGGTACTCTTTGGTAATACATTTGATAGTTCTTAAAAAAGGTAAAAAGATAATTTTAAACTATGTGCATTTTATCTCTAGTTAATATAGTACAGGTTGGATATCCTTTATCAAAATGCCTGGGACCAGAATTATTTCAGATTTGGAAATATTTTTATATACTCAATGCAATATCTGAGGAATAGGATCCAATTTTAAACACAAAGTGCATTTATATTTTATATGACCTGATACACCTAGTTGGCAGTAATTCTATATATTTTTAGTTCTCCTGTGTTTTGACTTTACAAGCTTTCACATGAGGTCAGGTGTGGATTTTTCCACTTGTGGCATTAAAAAGTTTTGGATCTCAGAGCATTTCAGTTTTCAGATTGGGGTGTTCAACCTGTAGTACAGCTATTTAAAACATGATAATATATGATGCTTTATTATTTTTATATTTCCAGGAAAGCAACACTAGAGGAAAAAAACACACTATTATAGATCAATAGAATGTTAGTTCTTTTTAGTGAGCATGTAAAGGTAGATTTATAATTTTTTGTTAAGTGTTTATAAAAAGAGAATTTAATACCATCATGTACATTATTAATAATGAAATGGATTATGAAATAGTTCAGTTATTTTTTAAAAATAATAAATAATTAAAATAGTGTTCTTATTGACCTAGTTTTCGATGATTGAAAGGCTCTTCTTCCCCTGGAGTTGTATTTTCATTAGCTACCCAGTTGTCATAGGCAGCATGCTACTTTAAAGCTAAGTCAACATAAGAATTACACTTATTTAGAAAGAGCTGCAAACTACATTGTCAATTATTATTCATTCTTCTGTTTTCTAATCTCTGACCTGCTGTCCTCCCCTGACATGTTTCTGTTTTCTATTCCTTTTTCTCTTGTTCATAAACATTCTGTACTCATCAGCACTGATAGAGTGGTCTGTTTCCTTGGTTTTAGAATCTTTTGACCTTTTTGTTTACAAATGGCTTGTAAATCATAAAGTATTTGATTTTTTTGCGTATGTGTGTTTCTAATTTCAAAATAAGACTTTTTTCCAGGTGACTGACAGCTTCTGCTTGCTTTTATTTTTTTGATACCTGATTTCTATTTATAGTCTGAAACAATGAGGTGGTTCTAATTACAGGTGAAAATATATCATAGAAGGCATGGGACTAAAGTCAGGAAACTGAATTTGGGACTAATCACCCCAATTTCTGGTTATGTGTCACTAACTTTCCAAATTTATAAAATAAGTGTATAGTAATATAGTAGCTCATTTTCTGAGTTCCTTAGCTTAGATGATAAGAACATTCCTGATATGCTTGAAACAGGCTACTTGAAATCATTCTAACTATAGCTTAAATCGAAAAATAAAAATTACATCATGAAATATTTTATTATAAAAGTTAATTGTATGCATTTTATGCAATTAGAGTAAGTCACTCATACTAATTCTAGTTATAATAATTTGGAAGTTGTCCATATATCCTGGTGATCTCTGTTACAAATCAGCCCAAAACATCATGAGTTAAAGCTATCATGGATTTTATTTACAATTTTCTAAGTCAAGAACTTGAAAATGATTCAACCAGGTGATTCTAGCTTAGGGTCTCTTGGGTTTCTTAGACAAGAGTGAGGTGCTGAGGTTGCAGTCACCTGAAGGCTAAATGTCCAAGGTAGCTCCTTTTTACAGTTGTAATTGATRCTGCATGTTCTTTGGAAGCTCAGATACTGCTCTTCTCTCAGTGGGAGCACCATGTGGTTGTACTTCTCAGCATATCTGTTAGATCCTTTCTGCAAAGGAGTAGTCTGAAGAGAAACAGAAATTCTAAGTAACACACTGTAGAAGCTGAGAAGCCTTTCCTGACCTGGACCTGAAAGTCATGCAGAGTTGCTTCCACTGTGTTCTATTAGTCATGCAAAGTCAGTTAGAACAGACCAGATCCTAGGAGAGCAGCGTTAGTATCACAAATATACAGCCATTTTTAGTCTACCATACTGAGTGCCATATTTATGAATATTATTGAAAGGAGGAAATAATACAATCGAATTTTGGCCCTAAAATTAATTATAATTGAATGAGAAAGTAAGGATATCATCATTTTTAAATTATGTTTTCTAACTATGAATAATGTGCATTTTAAAAATCACAAGGTTAAATTGGTTACATTAGCCCACAGGTTAATGGAATAATCTTATTTTGAAACCCAAGAATATTAAAAACCTTTTAATTCTACACATCAGTATCCTTTCAAACTCAATAGATCATCTTGTCAATATGCTGCAGAATTTTGCGGATATAATGAGAATATTGAGAGAGTATTGTTATTCATCTCCATGTAACATATTCTTTCAGCTGAGCAAGGAACTCCAGATCCAAGAGCCTAGGAGACTAATCTCGTGCTGAGGAAAAGTGGGTAGCTCTTGTGGAGTCTGTGGTTGGAGAGAAGAATAGCTGGATCTCAGGCACCACTGCCTTAAATCAGTCCTTTGTATCAGACCACCCAGTAATGATTTTGGACTTCTTGCTGGAAGAGCTAACAGCTGAAAGTAGTCAGCTAACCACATACCTCACAGCTGCTCAGTGAATCCTTCATTGCAAAGGGACCTGAGACTTAATCAACAAAGTATTTTTGTTGCCATTGATTATCAACAGTATTTTTACTAATCAACATTTTGTTGATTAATTAGTTTAAAGTGGAAGATTTGCTTCTCTTGTGTTTATGGGAATTATGAAGAAACTTAGTTTTCTGAAAATATGCTCACTTTTAAAATTCTCATATTTTATTCCCAGGGAAATTTGTCACGAAGTTCACAGTTTCACAACTTTAAATTAGGTAGATGGTAATATATTATTTACAGTTATTTGCAGACTAGCACATGCTAAATATTATATGCCATCAGAAGAAAATTCATAAAAGCCTTCTCTATCAATAACTGGGCAAATTAATTTTAGTGACCCAGAATTTTGTATTGTCTAACAAACAAAATGAAAGCACTTTCAAGGGAAGGTAAGATGAATTGATGGTGTCATTTACTATGTTTGGTGCTAATAATATGCTAAAGAAATAGAGTCTAAAGGCTCAAGTGGGGAGAAAAAGGAATTAAAGTAATCCAATGAAACCGGGGGAAAAACAAAGAGCTCAAGAAATTTTGTATGGAATAATATTTTGTTTAGATATTATGGCTTATCCCCTTTCCCCCAAAGAATGCATAACTCAACCAGTAAAGGAAAACTTTCCTGTGAGGTAAGTAGTAGTTTATATTAGTCTTAGAGTATGAGATATTATGTAAAATGGAGAGATGAGATGAAAAGAGGGCAGTAAAATCCCAAGATGTTTATGTGTAAAGCAAGGAGACATAAAGCAATGAATTTCAAATCTGTAGGAGTGAACAGAGATTAAAAGGAGGGTGGAAATCAAAATTCTGAAGCTTTTGAAATAAGTAAGTAAAAGATAATGAAGGGAACAATATGCCATGCCAAAGAGTTTTGGCTTTTTTTTTTTTCCCTTCCATAAAAAAGATGATACTCTGTTAAATTAGGAAGAGAAGGAATCCATTCCCAATTAGAAAAATCTCACTGATAAATAGGAAAAGTGATAGATGTAAGAAAAAAACATTTTAGGGACTATTGTAGAAATTCAAGTAAGGAGCAATGAGTTCCTAGAGTAAAACAATGTGAACTAGAGAGAAACAAGTCCAAGAAATATGAGGGAAGTAGAGGTTAATGAATTAGGTATCAGATTTGGTTCATAGTGAGTAGGAGCTGAGAGTACTGGGTGACTTCCTAGTTGTTATTTTAAGGAATAGGAACATAAAATAATCAGAAGTGAAGTTTCAGGGTAGGACAAGAGCAGAGCTGCATGTTGAGTTGTCATGTGTGTGGGACAGTGTTGTCATGTGTGTGGGACAGTGCTATTTACGTCTTCAGGAAATAGAAACATTAATGAGCTGCAACTTAGAGTCAGGGGACTCTGAACTGAGGATAGTAGTTAGCAGCACAGAATGGGAAGGGTCATGGGTATGGATCCATTGTGTACATAGAGGCCATCACTGTGGGTAGCCTGCACAGTGAGAAGATTAAATGCCCAAAGACTTCCAGTGAGAGGGTCACATATCATGGGTGATGAGACTGCTTAGTGGCCACAGGTTTGAGAATTAATATTTAATTAAAACAGAGGAACAAATTATAAGGTGTCTCTTTGAGAGTATGATTATTTTTATTTCACTGAATATACATGCACAAAAATATGAGGAAAGAATCAAGAATTACTCACTTTAGTCTGAAGCAACATAATGGACTAATGAGATAGATAGATAGATGGATGGATGATTCTTATATAAAATCATGTATAACATAATAACATTGTTGGATATATTAGCTTGTTTTTTTGTTAGAATATAATATTTAAAATATCATGCTATAGAGGAAATTTGAGTTTCATTATTCAGATGTAATGTTCTCTCATTGTGTGAAGTTGACTTTCTTTATTAAGAGCAAAGTGAAAGGGCTAAGCTTATTATACTGTTTCTTTGATGTTTTTATAGGATATAATGAAAGATGAATGCTCTATGCTCAAGTTACAGCTGAAAGAGAGGGATGAACTTATTTCCCAACTTCAGGAAGAGCTGGTAAGTGACAACAATATTTAGCCAACAGAGTGTACGTTTGTTGTAGACCCTTATCTATTAAATACTATTACTTATTTATAAATACTGTTAATGATATAATCTGTTTATCAAATTTATAATTCTATAGTAATAAAAACTATAGGTCTTTGACAAGATGGAAATAGAAATATGTGTGAAAATTTATGTAATTCTAGAAATAGATCTTGAAGCAGGGTTAATCATTTCAGTTTATCTATCAAAAATTTGAAGGCAAAGGCTATATTGTGTTTGTGAAGTGCATGATATAACTTCTATGAAGCAAAGTAAACAATAATACTGAAAACAAGGTGTATTTTACTTTTTATTTTTCATAAAGTTTGAAGTGTAGCTTTTTTCATATATAATTCACAAATAATGTAAAATAAAAAATACATATAGTTCAAATTTTATTTTATATGGCATTATTAAAGAATGTCAGGAAGGAATCATACCTTCACAACATGAAATATACTTGGTAGAYAACAGGAAAAGCCGTGGCCATTAATTTTCTAACTATACATTTTCAAATTATGGATGTGTGTGAACAGTAGTTTAAACTAAAATGTGAACACTCTGCATATACATAAAACTCATAGTACTATAAAACAAGAATTAAGAAGTGAGAAAGATTTTTTTCAAACTCATCACATTTTACTCTAATGTGAGTAAACTATATGCTGTAAAACAAACTGATCCGTTATCCAGATCAAAAACCAAATTGTAGCCCAAAATATTCTTTATGATTGTTTTATATTTGGCTACATTGACAATGCCATATTATGTAACTGTTAAATAAAATTAAATGATGAAGCAGACTTTCTAGAACAAGGCTTCTGAAAACTCCTAACTTTAATGACATATGAGACCAATTTAGAGCATTTCTTATTACTGACTCTTGATGACAGTGTTTTTTAACCAAAATTTGATCTTTATTTAGACTGTGCTCTGTGATTGGATTTATGGTGTTTATTGGTCTCCTGAACATATAATTGTGACTTTTAGAAGACCTATAAACCATTACTGAAAACAGGAATAGTATCATAGACAAAAGGAATACATCTTACATTACTGAAAATAACCTTTTATAAATATATATGTAAGGTTTATGATACAAAGTTTATATATTACATATTGAAATCATTTTATATTGATACAGCCCTCTAGGAATATATTATAAAATCAAGCTTTAATTATGTAGCATACAAAAATATCTTTGAATTTAATGAATATCAAATATAGATGTTTTTGAAGATTGGAATTGTCAGTTTTAACATAGAAGAGTATTTATTCATTCACTTTGCCAGAGAGTGCTTATTTTGTATAATTAACTCAGAAAGAAGTATTCATTTTTTCCTCTCAACATTAGTTGTGATCAGATTTAAAATATATGGTATATAAGAAATCAGACCTTCATTTGTTGAATGAAATGAAAAAGATAATGATTACTGCCAGAGCCAACACTACATAGCTATAATTAAAGTAATTCAATACCCCTCCCTCCAAAAAAGTCTTATATTGGCTGACATACTAATATGAGGCATAGTGTAAAATTATTATCTTCTTTTTCCTTTTCTTTAAACTTGAATTTCCCAAATTGGCTCCTTACTCTATAAAATTTCCCAGGTAGTAACCAAGATATCATTTTAATTTTTGTACCATGTTATTTGCATAATCCTTTTGACTGTTTAATAAAGGAAAAATATTAACTTTTGAAAATATAGTTTGTTTTGTTAAATGAGAATTATTACTAAGTAGGAAAGTGTGTAAGTGATGTTTACACATTAAGAGAAGAAACCTTAAAAAGCAAAAGGCTCAATAAAACTAGCTTTGGAGCATTCATGTTGGGGGGACAATCACATATAGTCCACCAGGATCCAAATAACTTCCAATCTTTGTAATAAATAACCTCTGACATTTTGTTAAGGTGGAAATTACACTTTGTATTGAAAATTCTAAACAATGTTAGGAGCCAGTTTAGCTGTTACTTATATTGCAGATTCACAATCTATAATAATTTAGAACTGGTTTCATTTCCTATTATTTGTCATGGGTTTCTTCTTTGATGACCCCTGCTATTATCATAAGCAATTTTATTTACCCATACATGGTAACACAAATTTAGATTTAATTAAGCCAAGAAATATTTGCATCAGGTCATTAAGAAATGTTTTTAAAGTAATTATGGTTGCTTATTTAGCCTTACTTTTAACAGTTTCAAAGGTTGGCAAAAGTTAATCAGCGTTTGGGGCAAAAGAGATCATTTTATATGCTTTTTTTTCAGTGATATATTTTTAGGACAGTGTTTCCCCAGCAACAACAGTATTGACACTTTGTTGTAAGTGGCTGTRCTGGGCATGGTAGGATGTTTAACAGACTCTCCAACACTCTGCACTAGATGCCAATATGCACCCTGCAGACATTGACAAATATCCTCTGGGGCCAAAATTACCCCCAGTTGAGAAACATCACTTTAGCTAATGGTGCCAGGTTAAATTATAGTCCCTAAAAGAAATTGTGTTATAGGATAAAAATTTACCTATACCCAGAAAAAAACAAGTCCTAGGCATGAGCCTTTCCTTGGGTTCTACTTTTTTTAAAAAATATGACAGCAGAATGCATTACAATTCTTATTATACATAGAGCAYGATTTTTCATATCTCTGGTTGTATATGAAGTATATTTACACCAGTTCATGTCTTCATACCTGTACTTTGGATAATAATGATCATCACATTCCACCATCATTTATAACCTCATGCCCCCTTCCTTTCCCTCCAACCCGCTGTCCTATATCGAGGAGTTTGTCTGTCTATTCCTCCCATGCTCCCTCTCCCTATTCCACTATGAATCAGCCTCCTTTTATCAAAGAAAACATTCAGCATTTGGTTTTTTGAGATTGGCTAACTTCACATAGCATTATCTTCTCTAACTCCATCCATTTACCTGAAAATGCCATGATTTTATTCTCTTTTATTGCTGAGTAATATTCCATTGTATATATATGCCACATTTTAAAAAATTCATTCATCTATTGAAGGGCATCTAAGTTGGTTCCACAATTTAGCTATTGTGAATTGTGCTGCTGTAAACATTGATGTGGCTGTGTCCCTGTAGTATCCTGTTTTTAAGTCCTTTGAGTATAGATGAAGGACAGGGATGGCTGGGTCAAATGGTGGTTCCATTCTTAATTTTCCAAGAAATCTCCATACTGCTTTCGATATTGGCTGCACCAATTTGCAGTCACACCAGCAGTATATGAGTGAGTGTACCTTTTCCCCCACATCYTCGCCAACATTGTTATTGTATGTAYATTATTGTTGTTTGTATGTATAAGAGCTGCTGTTCTGACTAGAATGAGATGAAATCTTAAGAGTTGTTTTGATTTGCATTTCTCTAATTGCTAGTGATGATGAACATTTTTTCATATATTTGTTGATTGATTGTATATCTTGTATATCATTTCCTGAGAAGTGTCTGTTCAGGTCCTTGATCCATTTATTTATTTATTTATTTATTTTTTTGTGCTTTGCTTTTTGAGTTCTTTATACACCCTAGAGATTATTGCTCTATCTGGTGTGTAAGGGGGTAAAGATTTGCTCCCAAGACATAGGCTCTCTATTCACCTCACAGATTATTTCTTTTGCTGAGAAGAAACCTTTTAGTTTGAGTCCATCCCATTTATTGATTCTTGATTTTAATTCTTGCACCAGAGGAGTCTTATTAAGGAAGTTGGGGCATAATCCCACATGATGGAGATTAAAGCCTACTTTTTCCTTCTATTAGATGCAGGGTCTCTGGTTGTGTTCCTAAGTCCTTGATCCATTTTAAGTTGAGTTTTGTGCATGGTGAGAGATAGAGGTTTAATTTCATTTTGTTGCATATGGATTTCCAGTTCTCTTAGCACCATTTGTTGAAGAGGCTGTCTTTTCTCCAATGCATATTTTTGGCACCTTTGTCTAATATAATATAATATAATTTTAATTTTGTGGATTAGTCTCTGTGTCCTCTATTCTGTACCACTGGTCTACCAGTCTGATTTGGTGCCAATACCACCAATACCATGTTGTTTTTGTTACTGTTTCTCTGTAGTATACTTTAAAGTCTGGTATAGTGATGCCACCTGCTTCACTCTTCCTGTTAAGGAATGCTTTAGCTATTCTGGGTCTCTTATTTTTCCAGATGAATTTACAATTGCCTTTTCTATTTCTATGAGGAATGTCATTGCAATTTTGATCAGAATTGCATGAAATCTTTTTGCTTTTAGAAATATGGTCATTTTAATAATACTAATTCATATTAATATTAATAATTAATATTAAAACCTATTCCTTGGGTTGTACTTTATGTAGGTATTTGCATATTGTTTTAGTTACTTGGGATGCTATAACAAATTATGTTAAATTGAGTAGCCTAAACAACAGAAAGTTAATTTTTCACAATTCTGAAAGTTGGAAGCCTGGGGTCATAGTCATATGAATAGAATATAGTCATGCCAGCATGACTATATTCAGGTGAGGACTCTCCTGGCTGACAGAAAGCCATCTTCTCACTGTGTGCTCACGTGGCTTTTCTTTAGTACATGCACATAGAGAAAGAGAATGTGAAAGCAAGCCTTCTGTGTCTTTATATAATCCCATCACGAGGGTCCCATACCTACAGACCTTACTTACTCCCAAACATCTTCCAAAAGTGCCTTTTCCGAATATCATCACATTGTGTGTTAGGACTTCAATGTATGAATGGAGGAAGGCACCATGTAATCAATAGCATGCATTATTTATGTTCATTCATGCTTGTTTAATGTTAACAAGTAGAGTTGTGGCTGGAGAGTGCTATTATATTTCTTTTTYGAGCACTAAATACACATTTCAAAAATTATTATTCTTTTTCTGCTCTATGATTTCAGAATTATTACTTTAGCTCAACACTTCTTGTTTGCTAGGTTGGTAGATTTCACAAAGCACAAATATACTATTAAACTCAAAATAATAATTTGATCTTAA